CGCTTTTCCATTTTCTCATCTCGGAAAAGTGTTACGGAAGAATTTTCTGAGCCCACCTCTGAATATTTGACGTGCCCTTTCACGTCTCGTTCTACATTTTCAAGTTTGACGTGTATACAACTTAACGTCGCCTGCAGGATTTTTCGTATGTCATTATTTTTTTTTAATTCTCTATAATTTACTAACAACTTGTGATTATTAATGGTAAACATAAAAAAATACGCAACCAGATTATTTATACAACATCATCTAAATCACAGTAATATTTTAAAAACGGGTGTTTCCCGCTTGACCGATCGGGCTTCTAATCGAATGATTGATTTTTCCTATTGGGTCGATTGATCTATGAATTCGATCAGCCCAAAAGGAAAATACAATCAATTTAGAAAACAAAAACATGTTACATCGAACCCTCTCCAAATGCATTTAAAATAAGAGTTCGTAATCTCTGAATGGTATTGATCATTTATGGTCAACATTAGGCAAACCAATTACCTATATTTCTCCCAAACTTGGAGTATTCAGGTAAGAGGCATGATTAAATGGCATGCGTAATTACTTTCAGTGTGTCCCGGCGCGTCGGAGGAAACTCGTGAATAATTATGTGGCTCATGACATTTATTAATTACAGTATACGTTATAAATTAGGTAACAGGGCAAGATAGTTTTACTATTCCCTATTTCTTATAGCCCTTTTATAATACACCAAAAGGGATGAATAAAATGAGAATGTAGTTGACATTTTATATGCTACATATTCTTTTTTTAGCTGTACCCAAATCTTATTATAAGAAACTTATAAGATATATACTACGTAAAAGTAATCTTCATCGATTTAAAATCTTGATCCATTAAAGAATAAAGAATTGTTTATGAAGTTCTTTAAAGTTACCGAGTTTAAATTGATTTATATAATACTAGTTTCCACCTACGACTCTGTCTGCATAGAATTAAAAAAAGAAGCCAGTAACCGATATGTGTTCTTCCAGACTTCTACATCTAAGCAAAATTTCATCGAGATCCATTTATCAGTTTAGGCTACAAGCTCTAACAAACATTCATCCATATAAATATTCGCATTTGTAGTAAAAACTAGCTTTCGCCCACGACTGCGTCCGCGTTGAATTTAAAAAAAACAAAAGCCTATGTGTTCTTCCAGACTATCCTCTACATCTATACCAAATTTCAACGATATCCATTCAACAGTTTAGGCTACAAACTCTAATAAACATCCATCCATCCGTCCATCTAAACTTTCGCATTTAGAATATTAGTAAATGATAAGTAAGGAGTTAGATTGATCAAGATCTAGTTACCTTTTGTTTCTCCATATAATTGTTAAAGTTGCTTGACGAAGTTACACGAGCCTAAATTAATTCATATACAAATAGATCGAGATCTGTACCCTTGACATTTGCCTTGAAGCTCTATGACGTCATTCCTATTCAGATAACCGAATGATGCTCGGTGAGGCGGCAGTGCGCGTAGCAGACATTATTCAGTAACAGAACATGTTCCGACATATATCTTGTTATTACAGGGAGCATTTCGATATCTCGTGGCTTTAACAAACAAACTTGTTTTGCATTATATTCAGAAATATTCTACGAGTATGTTCCGATTTACGAAAGATGCTTTCAGAAAAATTAATGTCTCAAGTTCGGTAGTTGGTTCTTCCGTTTTAGCAATTACATTTAAAATATTATTATTAAAATTGGTTATTACGTTCATTGAAACAATGAACACTTATACTCGATTGTTGAACTACACTCCTTGAATGGCTTGAGCGCTTATTATTATTCAAACTTTGCCAGTTTATTTCCGTTGAATGCCGGATAATAGCATCAAGGTACTTAATTCAAATTGAGTGGCGTCGGGTCGGGCTCACTTTACTCGTATTTCAATGAATATGCGCGTAGAAATTGCTAAATCTTTTGCCTGAAAATGAAAGATATGGATACATTATAATGATCTTAATTTAAATCTTTTTTTTAATCCCGATATTTCAAAGATTAAAAAAAAATATCGATTAGATATTAAACAATATATAAAATTGAAAGAAATCAGTATCCGAGTGTTGCCATATTAAACGACGTGATCTGATTAACCTTATACTATTACAAAAATTACAAACTACTAGCTTTCGCCCGCTATTTCGTCCCCGGAAATTAAAAAAAAAACAAAACAAAAGTAAGCAGCCTATGTGTTATTCCAGACTATCCTCTAAATCTATGCCAAATTTTATTGAAATCTGTTCAGCCGTTTAGGCTACAAACTCTAACAAACATCCATCCATCTAAACATTGGCATTTTTAATATTAGTAAGTAAGTATGATAGTGAGATTGTTATTCCTGTTTTTTTTTTAGGATAATAAAATATGTGATAAAATGTTTATTCCTATTCTTTAACAGTAAAGACCCACGGTTTAAAATAACATGAATTTGAAACTGCCAAACAAAGGCTGTATGCAGTAGAAGATCACTCAACTTCATTCCTTTAATAAAATCTGTATCACAAGCCCATATAGAGCGTAGCGCCAAATCTACTCTTTGTTATTCTGCCGCCTAAAATATGGAATCTTGCCGTTTATTGTAGACAAGAATAAATCGTAAGGGACGATTTATATTCATAGCACCTCGCGACATCACCGAAGTCGATAAGTTACTGTAGGTAAATAAATTGTCATATTCAATGAGATTTTGAACGTTTTAACACCGGCCAATATTTTAACGGAAGCGGCCGTTGCCTCAATAACCATCCATTTGAATATTAATGATTCAATAACAATAAACTTTGTTTGGTTTACGTTTCAACGAAGATATAAAATTTAAACTCTCTTAAAACTTGTATCAAAATTTACTAGCAATGACCTAGTCGAGAATTCATATTTTGAACATGTTAATTACTTCCTGTTTAGAAATATCTTGCTTGTTTGACTAAAAATAGTAAAGGTTAAAAATATCCCTATACTAAAAGAAAATTCTTCTCCAACCTAATTTTTACATAGTCCAAATTCCTTTCCTTTCATAGGTTTTTATAATATTTTTCGAATAAATTCCATTTCCCAGGAAATATTAAGAAGCTATCTTTTGAAATTTTCTGCCTTCATAAAGGCGCCAAGTTCTTTGAGAGTTCTCGCTTCATAAATGTTAAGTATTTAAAATAATAATTATTTCAAGGGATCGGAAGATTTCCCTGTTTCTCAAACGAGATGGTTTTACTACATTTTTTCTTGAATGGGCAGACGAGATTTTTAAGGAAACTAATTAGCGTTAGGAAAGTAAATATTTTTCGCAAAGTACAGGAACTTTAAAAGAAATATTTTCCTTTGCTGTTTTTTAAATAAATAGTGGCAAAAATGTTGTAATTAAAACATGAGCAAACTATGAAACTAGTCTTGTTGATTGAATTTTACAAAAATAATCAAAATTTGAAAACTTACAAAAATGAAATAGCTTAACTCTGTAAAGCGTTTTAGGTACTCATTAGAGAATGTATTTCGCATAACAAATACACATAACTTCGTGTGTTAGTAAAATATGGAAATTAGATAGCAGATTTTTCCCAATTACCAAATTTAGCCAATATATTTTAAACCGTACTTTTATTTAAAGGTTTTTGACGCTATCAATTTATTTATAGGATTTTTTTGATGACGCTTTTAGTCGTTAACATAAAAGAATTCATATTGATTAATTAAATTCCGGTACATTAATCTGCGTATACTCTATAAGTAATTAACCTATTTATTGATACTTCTACGAGTAATAACAAAGAAAACATAAGCAGTATAATGAACAACATTTCCCGCGAAAGTGAGCGTAACGATAACTCTCGCATTACAATTAAGATTTATAGACGTAACGTCGAAAGGTAAAGGGAGGGTAGGGGGAAAGTTGGGAGAATTTATCAACATTTATTATAATAGCATGTTTTGATACTAATTTAAAACATTGGAATTTAATACAGATAACATAAACTAGAAAGTGTTAAGATTGAATGTGAATGGCTACAAAGGTAGAGGAAGACCGAAGGAAGTTTGGATGGATTGTGTGATGCTTAAGAAAGAGTGGATTCAAATATAACGGCTTATAGAGATGTATGGAAGAGCAGCACATACTGTGCCGACCCTCCATAAGGGATAAGTACAAGTGGATGATGATGGAATTAAATACAGAATTCTTAAATGGCATTGCATGTCCATGGGCGTCGGATTAACATTAGGCTATTAGCTGCTAATTAGAACCTATTTATATAAATAAAAATCGTATTAGACCAATTACCCGTACCAAAACTACAATAAAGTGCCTTTTAAAGTACTTTGAGTGCGCAGTTTTTTAGCAGTTTACCTGTATACTATATTCATAGATAACACACGTATGGATAGAGTGTTTTGTATGATAATATTTAGTGTACCCTGCAACAGATTATCGCACACAATTTTTTCGCCTCATTTCTTGCTCTGGACGAATCTATGGGTTGTAAATCTATGACTACATCAATGTAAATTTTCTATTGTCTTAAGTATGTATTGAAATTCGATAGAATAATTCGTTGCAGAGCACTGCTTTAACTCATATAACACGAATTGGTAACTACTTAATACTCGGAAGTACTTATATGCATGCAGTACATTATGTTTACGCGGATTATGTTCAATTTAACATTGTTTGTGTATTGAATAATATTTGCGAAGCAATCAATTTCTCGGTATTATGATTTCATAAAACATGTGTAATTCTCTTATGCCTGACGGATTACCAACTGGATGCATTTATTTGTTGTATTGTTGTCTCTGTTTTGTCAATAGGAACGAAAGGGATGACAGTATCTGTCTACATTACTGAAATTTGGTTGTCGACAATAAATCATACAACTATGTTACAATTGCTGTTTCCTTTATAGTATCCAAAGAGATGGCACGTCGGTAAGTAAGGTGCTCTTGTTGTCGACGTGCCAATTCAAATTCCGGGTACATCATGCATAGGTGTAGCCTTACCGTTTTATTTTCATTTTCATGTTACGTTAAAAGGTTCCTCTTTTGTTCTTTCGCCTGATTCGTTACAGTTCTTTTGAGCGTTCACTAGAATGAAAATTAAAGGTTTTAGCTATAAGAACGAGTATCGGATTTTTTTTATTGGTATTAAGGGATTTAGACAAAAAAATGTAAAATTAAGCATCTAGAATACTGAATGTAAAACTATACTTTTTTAGAACAGTAATAAAATATAATTATATCATTGATTAGTTTTTAATTTACGAATTTTATTTCAAAGTAATAATTTAGAAGACGTTAAATTTATTTACAAAGTCCTGAAAAACTTCTACCCTGCCTAATGAAATCAATTATAAACGATTCTTTTTTTGTTAGCTTAATTAATAGATTCCCATCCATTCTCCCGTCTCGTTAGCAGACTTTTTCTTATCGTCCATTGTAATGAGATTTTACAAGTTTTATAAAAACCCTATTAAATAAAACATTCAGAAACGACTTTATCATTCTCTTGGATTATTTTGTTGTTAGAATATTTAGTAAGTTCATTTATAAATGTGACAGATTAATAAAAAATTATGTTACAGTGTTAATATAACAATCCTAGAGTGCTTGGGACTTGCATTATTTTGTTTTACACTCGTTTGTACAGTGACGTAATATCCTACTTAAATTACCACAAATTAGTTTAGCTGTATTACATTAAATATGGCTTTAATTCAGTCCAATAATATCTTATCGACTAATACAAAAAGAAAAAAACAAAAAAGACAACCATTTGCCACATATAAAATTAGTAAATGCAGTAATTTATTTATATAGGATTGCAAACAAAACAATTTAATTTAGATATTCTACATGTAGTGATTGAAGCTTAGTTCAAAATCTTAACATAAACATATTTCATTTACGAGTATAGGCAAGTATAATATTTGTACAAAGAAAAACCAAAACAATAGTCATGTGTTTTAAGATCAATCCGGTTGTTTTTTCTAAAATAATGAGAATTTAGGTGTATTTAATACGAGCTGTCCCCCGCAAACTTCGTTAGTGCGATTTTGAACCACCCGTTACGCCATTTAGACAGCGCGAAATCAAAAAAGTAGTCTATAATATGCCTATCCATGTCAACTACCCTCCAGTAAAAGTGTGGTCGAAATCCGCCCAGCCGTTTCGGAGATTACCCGGAATAAACGCGGCTTGCGGACAGACAGACAGACAAAACTTTTTTAAATCCGATTTTCGTCATCAGCAACTTAAATACATCATCCTGAAATCTGGAATTTTTCTTTTGATATTACAGACACTCCAATTTAACTATATATATAGATAGAATATAGACGAAACGACAATAGAAACACAATATTCTGACTTATATTTCGAGTTCATTTTACACGTTATTTCCATTCATTGCGACCCTATCAAAGATCAACTCAGTCACAATGAATAATTTATACTTACGAGTACTCTCTTGGAGACGGGAATGGACCGATTGGTCGTTTTTCTTTCTTAGTAAGTGATCTTAAAAACGACTATATAATTCAGAATTTTACACTTATTAAAAATACCCAATAAAGTTAATTAATCTATCCGAAGTGGGCCTTTGCCTCCAACAACAAAAGTAAGTATCATGTAAATATATTAATTAATTTATTTAGATTGCTTTGTATGCATGCACGGTGTGCTTGGACCGCAAAATGAAAATACATAAACGCTGTCTACCTCACTGCGTTAGGGGCATAACTTTTTTTTTCGTTGCTTAACCAACACCAGACAGTAATAATTATTTGTTCAGTAAGAATTATTATCACATCGTTGATATTAATAATTTATTTGATGTCATTCATGTGTACATTTATTAGCTTGCTTCTTAAATTTCTGTAGCGAACAGTCAATAAATGGAGTATATACGGAGCTCAAGCCTGTTGCTCAGTGAAGTGATCATGCGTTAAATAGCACTTAAAAACCGCGACGTATGTGATCAACCGTAAGAAAAGAGTCAGTCAATGCGGAAAAGTATATTGCGTGTCTGTAGAAGTTTATTACATATAAGCTTGCAATGCCGTTAAAGAAATTGCTTCTTAAGCGTTTCAACTGCCAGAATATCTGTATAAAATAACAACGCGGTACCAATCAAGTCAAAAATGATATAGTTACTAATAGTTTAGTTCACAGCTATATGAGTCCACAGCCGGGCCTTCCGCATCCAGGATTTTTTATTTATTTAGTTTCATAGTCAAGCTTAATGCTTTTGCTACTCTATTTTAGCTATCAGAAAAGTTAATTAGTTACTCAAATGTTAAATGCCCTTTCGTCCTCAGACTTTTTACAAAACATTTTCATTTTTCTCTCGGCCAATCCGTTTTGTTCCCCTTCCTTAGACGGAAGCTTTGCGAGACGGTCGTCACAATAAGTACAGATCCTTTCATAGTATAAAACAACACTTAAACGAGATTTTTTTAAATTCACTACAGGCTATTGTGACCTACTCTAGATTTAGTTCAAGAACATTTCTTATTGCCTCTTTGCGTTTTAAGAAAATTTCTAAGCTCAATTCCCTTGGGTTATATCTAATATTATTAAATTTATTATTTTTTTAAATCAACCAAATAACAAACACAAATAATTTGAAAACAATTCATTTTATTGTCATTCATCAATAAAGAACTGCCTCATTATGTAAACAAACTTTAATGCTTACTAAAGAATGCTAATGTAATATTACTTTATGTTATATAATATGTTAGTGATTGATGTAATAGCCGGCTCTATCAAATTTAGTTACAATTTCACTGTCGGTAGCGTTCAGTGGACTGGGCCGGTCGTGACTCCCAGTGGCCTTGAATGGAACCGGTTCAGTCCTCAGAGTTTATAGATAACATCTTTAGATACACGACTAGACCCGACAAAACAAGACCTCCTCTGCGTCCACCTCGCTCACACTGCCAACTTAAAAATTAAAATAGTTGTTACTTAAAAAGATTACAATTAATTATTAGTATCTACCCTAATTGGCTCTTATCAACCCTCAAGGCAGCAGTAAGCATTGGATTAATGAAAAAAAATAGCTTCATTTCTTCATCCTTAGCTCACCATATCACCACAGAGGGGCTCGAAACCTTTCCTAACTTAAGGGACATAATTATAAAAAGACTAGCTTTCGCCCGCTTGGAATTAAAAAAAAATAAGTAGTATATGTGCTCTTCCAGAATACTATCTACATCTATGCCAAATTCCATAGATATCCGTTCAGCCGTTTAGGCTATAAACTCTAACAAACATCCATCCATTCATCTAAACTTTCGCATTTATAGTACTCGTATTAGTAAGATTATTTAACGTTTTTATAACGTTGTTATAAACAACGTCAGTTAATTAAGTAAAATTGCATTTTGCTTTTGCATAAACTTAATATATATTTAATCAAAATAGAATCCTAATTAGTACTGAATAAAGTCTATGTTCCCTAATTTGATTAACTGGCGATGTGTAATTAGTGTTACAACAAGCCTTAGCGACTCCATTCCTTCAGCTCAGCCGTTCTTTAAAAATTTAATTATACGTTAAATAGTGGGAAAATTCCAATTTTAATACTTTTATTAGAACAAGGAAAATTGACAACCTAAAAGATTTTCAGCTATTTAAAAGTTGATTTTTAATTCCCAAGAGAAAAACAAACATTAGAAAATCAGAGAGAGTTTTTAATCCTGTTCGTTCTTGATATTTCTTCAATGACCAACTCGTATATAACTAATTGAAACGATTACACTATCTAGATTTTAGTATATACAACGTGGATTTCTATAGCCGAAACGTATAAAAAATATGTCATTGTCTCTTGATATTTATTGGTAAAAGCTATCTTTGGCAATTTGTATACATTTTCGCCAGAAGTAACGGATCGAGGAACTTTAACCATCCAAGGTTTGATCAAGTTCTTTATTATATAAGAGAAGCTTCTATAGAAATGGACATTATCATCATCACCAGCTCACTATACCCCCACTGGGGGTTCAGAGCCTACCCTCAGATAGGGTGATTACGCCTTAGTCAACAACCCTGGTCCATTGTGGGTCGGTTGGCTTCACACATGTCTTTAAATTTCTTCGCCGATATGAGCAGGTTTCATCTCGACGTTTTCCTTCATCGTAAGAACGTCGGGTAAATTATGTACATATAAAATTCTAAAAATGGAATATCACATCGATACATGACAGGATTCGATCTCAGGACCTGTGGACAAGTCAAGTGCTCAAACCCCTGAGCAACCGACGCGCAGAAATGGACACAAACTTTAAACGTGATTTTCGTCTTACATGTTTCGTTGTCTAAGAATAATACAAGTATGAAAACCCACATTCCATTTAGATTATGTAAAGAGTTGAGTTGCGTGTTTAGCGGTCAGCTCACATATGTATAGGACCCCAGCAACAAACCCGCAAACAATCCTAAACACATGAGACCAAGCTACTAAGATCATTGTTACCACAAACATTAAACTTTATACACTCTACCTAAAATATTCACAGTTCATTCCAACACAAATTCTAAACTACGAGTATTTACGTCTTTATTTACTTATTTTAAGAGTGAAATAAATTTTTATACTATTGTTAGCAAATAAAGTAATGTAAGAAACAGTATTGAAATGTGGGGCATATCTATTGGTAATAATATTTGAAACGAAAGATATATCTAATGAATTCCTCGTAAAACAAATCATATAAACACAAAATGCCAAACCTTTCCTGAAACAATGCAAATGCTGACAATAAGATCTTTCAGGAATTGGCAAACTTTACCATCTTTAAATGAATCGTACAATTCTGTGACTTCAATTTAAACCTCCAGACAGAGAGGATGTCTTTATTCCCGTTACCTACAACTTCCCCACAGATTCACTTAAAACAATGAATTGGAACTATCTAGAGGAATCTCTTTTTTGTGTTTGTTATTGAACCGATCCATTCATATCTTTTGTGTATTATCAAGTAGCTTTTGCTCGCAACTTCTGCCTTATGGAGTTTAAAAATATCTAAAGCAGCGTATGCGTTCTTCTAGACTTTATTAATACTGCATTAAATTTCACCGATATTTACATCTAAACTTTCGCATAATAAATAATCAATAACAAATAGACCACACGTGTTGAAAAGTCTATTTACAGCCCTTGAATTTATACGAAAAAATGATTCGATCGAAATCGAATTAGACGATTACATGGATTTTTTTGCACAAAATGTACTGATATCATCAATTCATAACTTATTCGTCGCTGAGCTTAAAGATTACAATAAATTTTTAACGTTGGGATAAACCGTCGTAAACGATGACGACTTGAAGAGATATCTCAATACTTATAATAATATTTACAAAAGTATTCACTAGGTCTACGAATTATTTCATATTCTAGGATTTTATTCTAATTGAGATTTAAGGCAAATGTGCCCAAGCAAAATTATTTAAAACAGTGGCAACCTAAATGCGTGAAGAAACGTTAAATTATTGATTTAGATACCTAAACTAGTGCCATCTGTTGTAATAAAAATAAACTGTCCACATCACTACACTAAAGTCGATTAAAAGTAATAATTTATATGTACATTCGTTATTCTAAATTTTAAAAGTACCATTGAAAACGAAGTGTTAAACTCCAGACTCCGGTGTAAACAGTTTATGCAAACTCGACTGCGGAATTAAAAAAGTTCCCTTTGAACCGCAATGTAACAAACATCCGAAATTTATAGGAAAATATTTCTAAAAATGTTGTCCTTTAGTTTTAAAACGTATACTTTAACTTTTTTCCTAAAACATTAATTTGACAGAATAAAAATATTGCAGTCGCCTGAATAAAAAATGACCAATGACATGTTTTTACTTGCGCATTATTTTAGCTAGATATAATAAAGTTGGCTAAAATATTATCATGATTGGATGAAAGTAAGAATAATACCTATACATATACATTCCTAAAGATAAAAACATTTATCACAAACAGTACATAAATTATTTCACACCGTTCATTACGCTTGTAAACAGCGTTCATTTACAACTCAATTCAAACATTTCAAAAAGCGCTTTCGAATTGATACTGCATTTAAATACTATTAACAACAGCGCTACAGCGCTGAATGGAACACCTGGATTCATTTTCGACGATTGCACTCCGCTTCGAACTATTACATTTCAATTCCGCTCAAATGAAAGCTTCGAATAACCAGATTTAGAAGTTTTTGTGCTAACCGAAATCAGCTGTTAACTCCTTCATTAACAGTTCTAAAATCACAGTTATTTTATGTTAATACTAGTTTTAATTTAATTTATGACTGAATTTTTCATGAGATAACATATTAAAAATACTTACTACATTTTTATTTTTGGAATATAAAATTAATCACAGATTTTTAAAGGTTACTTAGGGCCTGTCCCACCACTGCCTGATAGAGGCTGAGATTGCTAAATATGACGTCACTGTCAGATAAAGGAACAAAATAAGATATTTCCATCACTAATTTTATACGTTGGATTGTTATCAGACAATTTACAATTTGGGACGGGCTCTTAATATGGTCGATGGTAATACTGTAACAAAATAAAATGACGTAAAATAAATAAATCATAAACAAGGAATAAAGTTAGCAGCAAAACTAAGTGGAATTTCTTAGTGACATCAAGCATAGCGTAAAGTTTTGTCCGCCCCGAGCTCCCGTGTAAATATTAATTAAGTATTATACCGTTTTCCGACTTGAAATTAATTTCTACTACAACTTTAAGTAGATGTTCACTTCAAGAATGTTATAAAATAAAATCAAAGTACACTTTATCTTTCGGAATATCTCAAGTATTATTTAATAGATCTAGGCTACTAATAATCGCCAAAGATCTGAAATTCGTTGCTTTTTAGTTCTATAACACATTTGAGATATTCTGTCAGGAGAATATACAGTACTAATATGATAATAGCGAAGGTTATAAACCCATTCAAGCTGTCTAAATTCAATTAATGGGATTAATACGTGCATTAATTTGTTCCTATTCAGCGTAGCAATATCCGTGTAATTATGGCTTCCTACTAATCTTCGAGGTGGGGAAGGATATGGAACGTGTCTACTCCTTCGATGTGTTTTGTTGGCTTCCCTAAGCAGCGACGATTCCAGTATATCTCATAACTTTTATATAGAATACAACAATGATATACTTATTATTCGATTATCCTAGACTAAAGGAAATTCATTATTAGTTCATCATAAAAAACAATCGCCTATTTAGTATATCGTTGATTTATTTAGTATTTAAAGTATGCACAAGTACTTAGGTTAATAATTTAGACAAAGAAATTCAAAAACACTAACTAAAATAGCAAATGATTATTATTTGAGCATCGGAAATGGATTTCCTACGAGCGGAAATCGACGCAAACGTCCCATACACTGGGAGGGTTGTCACTTCGCACCAAACAGGGTCACGGTCACAATTTTATTTAGTAAATTTCTAGTAGAACTAAAAAGTAACTTTATACTAAATACTATTATTGTCGGCCTACACTTTTTTTTTAATTAATATTTAATGAAACAATTAAACGGAATATTGAATATTATATAATACACATATAATAGCGACCGTTGCTCCAACGGCATGTGGTTGGCATACCAGAGCAAATTGAGTTAACATCTTGACCCAATACTAATGGAGTAATTACATGCTTTGGTGATATCTAAGCATAACATATGGTACATAAGTAAGACAAGCTACTCCCTCGACGATGTCTAGACAGAATATTAATTTGGTGTACTGTTTATTGTAGAAGTCAAGAGTAAACACTGTAAATATTCAGACTAATTAAAAATTCACTATTACCATACCGTATCACAGAATTGTTGCATTTAATTAGAAAAAAACGTAGGTACATTATGAAAAAGTTACATTTTAACAGATGTAACTGGAATTTTCAATCTATTTTCATGAAATACTTTTGACGTCTAACTCAATTTATTTCCACTAAAATGGATACTATTTAATATAAATAATTTCATTTGCAAACGGGATCTCGGGAATTTTCAATGAAATCAGAAACACTAAGAACAAATTTAAATTACATCTAATAGAAAGGTCTACGCTTTGACTATGAACTTTGGACTATCAAGAAAAGAGAAAGAAAATGAAAAACTTTCATTAAAAACAAATATTTTCGTTTATTTCATTTGGAAAATTAGAATTAAAATTTGTTTTTTTTATTATTTCCTATCGACAAAAAAATATTAGAGGGATACAAGATTAAATTAATTATAAAAATAATAAAATATAAGTGTTTGTAATTGAATTGTAGTTCCGTTAAATTGATTCTCAGATGACAAGAGGTCTTGTTAATTGAAAATCGATCCTAGTATGTTATTTTAACACATGTTAGAAACCATTTTGCGGTGAACCGAAGCAACGACGTCACGTCATTTCTCCCTCAATTTGTTCCTCATGCCTATTGACACTGGGGCCTTTTAATTACTTTAGACCGTTATTCAATTTTGTGGTCACTTTACTCCCTAACTCCTCATGTACGGGACGTTGCGTTGATTGACTTTTGTAATTACTATATTATGCCTATCGCACTATTGCTTGCACTTTTTCTGTTGCATAAAAGCGAGTGAATATGCAATTTATGTTTTTGTACAGGTACGTCAGTTAAGTATATCTGTAGCTATGTATCGCATACCTCGTCAAGAGTAATAAAAATCCGCTTATCTTGTGCCTGATGTATCTTAAATTTGAACACTTGTAACATTTTAAAAGATGTATTTTGTTATTGGGAATTTGTTTGTTGTATTTTTAAATTATTAACAAGTGCTGTTTTGTTACAGTACATTGGTACTCTCGACGTGCCGAGACCAGCAAATCGGATCGAGATTGTCGCTGCTATGCGTCGTGCGCGCGTGAGTTTCGTTTATATCAATCATCATCATCTCCTTATCCTACTCCCGTAGGGTCGGCGCAACAGGTTTTTGTCCACCAAATAACTCTATCATACGTCATCTCAGTCTCACTCCCTTTTTGATCAAGTCACCTTTCAAGCAGTTCCTCCATATTTTTCTAGGTCTATCTCGTTTACACTCCAGTAGAAATTAAATAACAAAGCTACTGAATTTTATCATAAATCTGAAGATATGTCTTATGATTAAATGTCAACAATTTATAACATAAACCAAGCAACCTTCGAAAAACAGTCCAAGTAATTAATATTTACTTTACAAGCAATATGTACAGATATCGAAATTGGAAAACTAAGAACACGATAGCAATTAAAGCTAAATATACTTTTAACAAGACTTTGATGTTTTCCTTTAGAAATTTTGCTATATATTTTTGTATTCATAATTTGTTTTTATTTAAATAAAATAACAATATATAAAATTACATAATATGTGATTTGAATAAAAATATATACTGTTCCCAGCGCACTACATTTTAGAATACAAAAATGTGTCTGAAGTGGATGGTCGTGAAAGATAACGAAATAAGGGAGTGACGTCGTAATGAATTTTAAATATGAAAATCTGATATACAACACATAATAAAATAATAGTGTGTATGGTTTTTTGTCAAACAAAAACAGAACTGAACAAAGGCGTATTTTTAAAGGATGGAAATTACGCATTTCACTGTACTTAGGTATCTTTATCCCGTCCGTCCGAAACAGAGCCGACTGTTTTATTTAATTATGGAATTCAAAGATAATTTTGTAAGAACTTGTCAAGTCCTGTCCTTTGCAGTACCTTTTGTTGTTTAGAATTTAACTGTCGTACTTGTGGCTGGATAAATATTATAATATCTTAGTTTCTACGAGATTTAAATGCTGTCTAAAAAGAATCATCCTTTGCCTTCTTTGTTTGTTTAAACTTTGATATGATCTTCTGTAACTGCTAGTTAAGGCCCTTCAGAGAAAAAAATCTGAAAATGGGCAATTCAAATAGCATTTTTTTAATGAATATTTTCCTTACTAGTGGAAATTTGAATTTGATATTAAAATGTTAGATTTAGCGATCTTATTTAAAAAGGCAGACTGATTTATGAAATATTGACGGAAATTATGATCAGTAGTTTAATTTCAAAGACAATAATTATTTTTAACGACACAATATTCAAATTATTTATGATTGCTCCGACCAGAATTATAGTATTTCGGTGTCATTGAATTCAACAAATTTGTAGTTGACTTCGGAAACTCGGATAACTCTATCAAAGTTCCCGCTCAACTGATTTAGTTCAGTGAGTGTGTAACCCGATATGTTAACTAAGTTACTACATGTCAAACTTCACTGATTAGGGTTGATAAGTGAATGATGTGACAAATCTTAAATACAGTATACATTAACGTAATTAAAATGCATCTTTTCATTAATGACTGCCGTTATACTCGTATTACAAAATTATATTACTCTAGACTTTTAATGCCGTGACACTTGTTTAGCCTGAAGATATATAATTCCCGCCAGAGGGCGCTTTAATCAGTTACTTTATTACATCAGTTTTTATACTAAAAAAATAATATTTTAATATCTCTTCGCAGTAATGCAAGAGTTTTTATATAATTGATTAAACTACAATACATTGTAGTCCGTTTTATGAAAGGGATGGTCAGTGCTGATTTTAGGCGCCCTGGGCGACCGCCCTACCGCGTCCCACCCATACTAACGCCCTGAACAGCATTGTTGATGACAATAAATACCAGTGTCATGACACTAGAATTCTATACAAAATGTGTATACCATATAATTTTACATGAACATTACAAGATCAATCCTGTCACATTGAAATATGAATACATCACGTTACGTGACGCCTATCTTCCCTGAATATAAAGGAGTCGTTGGCCCATATTTGCACAATAAAAGCATAACGGCTGTGACATTTATTACCTCAACAATGGTACGGGGCTTTGATTCCTTTTGTAATGTAATGTCAGTCATTTGCTAAACATATTTAGGATAAAAAACTAAAGATTATATGTTTTTTCATACGGTTAAAAAAGCAACTTTTGTGTAAACAATATAAATGTTACACAAAAATTAGTATTACGTTGTTATGCGTATCATTTATTTAAAATTAACATATATCTTTGAAGCTGAACAAAATGTCTTGTAAATTTATAATGACGTTAAGAATCCCTGAAAACTTATGACATAAAATACAACATTGTTACTGCAGGGGGACGCATATTTTTATTGAATGAAGAGTATGTGTCAGTCGAGGTTGATTACGTGAAATATGATTATCAAAGAAGTGAAGTGTCGAATGGTAGATTGTTATAGGGGACGAAAACCTGTTGTGACGAACAAACATAGAGATATGAGGACGGGCAAATAATTAGTCAGATAAAAGTCCGTTCATCCAGACGTAGTGGGTAGAGCACAGCAGATTATTATCGCAAATAAAATCGATCTTTATTTGATTTAAATAAAGTCTTATTTAAGAAGATAAAAAGAATTAAATTTTACAATTGTATAATGTTCAATTTTATTTGATGTATAAATCTGTTCTGCTTTACGCTCCGTCCTTTTTGAAACCTACCCTCATACTCCATACAAGTTAAATTCTAAATTCAATACGAGATTAAAGTTATTTTAATGCAAATAATGCCGCCACTTGTATAATAAAAATGATTGTTTTATTGTGAGTTTTTTGTTAATTGCACTTTCTAGCATGATTTCAAGGCGGATGGGGCTGACCAGCGTAAGGTGCTAATGGACATCTCCACCAACGGCGTCCGCGTGACTCTACGCACCAAGAACAACAGGGTAAGATTTTTTTTAATTATTACGAGTACCGTAGAAATATATTTATTTAAGCATTTTATTTTGTCTTATAGTGCAACTAATTTATGTCATTATCCAATAAACAATCGCTATACGAATTAAAAACAATTGATAGGTACAAATTGACTTCTAATTTGAATAAAATAGTGAGTTTTGACATAAATTAAAATCGAATCCGTTTATGTATACACCTATGCATTGCGACGCATGTCAGATTAAACCAGTTATTAATCAATTAGTCCTGATTATGATATATGGAATGACTGAGCTTTGAGTTATGCCTCACTTCCACTTGTATGTGCCACCGAACGCTTTGTCCACTTTGTCCTGTCCAGTGTACAATACATTGTCCGTAATGAACCAATTACGGATTAGCTCGCTGTTTACAATGTACCATAGTTATGTATTAATTTCAATACGTTCCAAATGAGTATTGGAAGCTGTAAGATTGGAAATAACATTTTAGTTTAGTTTCAACTAATATTTAGATGCAACAATTAATCTTCGATGAATTTTATAAATATATCGGCCTTTAGATTGTTTAAAGAATTTTTAAAGCCTATTTAGTCGTTATTTCATATTCCATTTTAAACCCATTACATATATCTAAACGTAAACTTTAAAAGTCCGTATTTAGTTTCCAATTATTGTCTAATTATTGTAGAACCACCAACAAACAATGGACAATAGGGTGTGATATTTCAATAAAGTCTATTAACCGCCCCAAAAAGTTTCGGGTGTCACTATTTTATAAAACAGCACCAAAGGCCATAGAATGCTTTATAAAGAGACGTATAATTACTGTAAAAGCTTTGATGTTTGAATTAAGATAAAACGTTCAATGAGTTCCATAGAATCCCCAGCCATTCATTAACAACGATCGATAAACATTCGAATAGTTGTCTGTTAAATACGAACACTTGGGGATTAAACGCTATCGTCGTCTATTATCGACGATTGGCGTTTCTCTTGACCACTTCATTTCTATTGATTTTGATACCAATAGAGCAATCTCGTATCTTGAGAACTCCCTTAATAGATCCTCTTTAGTCGAACTGTTTAGTTTAATTATGTTTGCACTTCGGGATTGTTCATTTAAAAACGTAACAAAAACTTTAGTTTTTAATTCGTAAATTTTAAGTTGTCTTGATAATGTTGAGATTTGTTTGCATTCACATTAACAATATATCTATGTTTACGTTATTTAAACTAAAAAAGCTTAAAGCCAATTAAACATGACTTTCAGGAAGATAGTATTATTATTTGTAACGTTCGCTGTGGACGCTAAAAAACTTCGTTAACTCGTTGAAGATAGGCAACTAATAACTCAGTCGACAGCTTTCCATGTTATTATGTATAAATAACTACTAATTAAAATAAATAAAAGAAAATAAAATTAAAAGAGGTGAAATAATAAGATTTATAAATGTAGTAAAGCATATTTTTTATCAACGTACTTTTACTAAAACATCGTGTCGATTAAAAATAACTATAGACATGTACAGAAAAATTAGACATAGACAATGTAGACATAATAACGTTTTTACTAAAAAAAAATTCAGAAGCATATAACTTATAAAGAGTGAATACTTTAACTGTCGTTAGACATGGACAGCTCTACTGCGCTGCCCTTGTAGCAGGAATCGAAATTCCCAAGCGATGTCTTGTAATTACGTTTCCAGCGGACATCGCTTAATTGGGAGATATGTTCTTATACAATACAACGCTACATATTTGCGTAATGTATGATATAATTAAAATAACTTTTTACTTTGTTTTTAATTTCACTATTCGATGTTAGCAGTCAAATAAGAAGAAATGAAAACATTGAAAGCTTGACTTGAGTTAACCTCAAATTACGATAATTATATATTTACTCGTATTCATTTATATTTGTATAGCAAGACAAAATGTTATTTCCAATCCCGCTGAACTTAGTTTAAAAAAAACTTGATCATCACAATCCAATTTAACTTTTTAAATTCTAAACTTCAAATGCAATCGTATTGAGTTTTACTTGTCAATGTTAGTTTCAAACTAGTTTATTATAGTTAAGACGTTTCAGCTCAGTCATTCAATATTAAGATTTGCAAACTTTTAATTTCTACAATTTCTACCTTTGCATAAAAATTACGTCGTCAGTTAAAATAATCTTCTCCTTTTTTTACCAGTTTCGGCGTTTCTTCCGTCGCAAGCGCAAGAACGCCCAGCCGAAGGAGCCTTTGGAGTTAATGCACCATCCCATTTATCGCATCTTTTACGTTTCGCACGACAGCTACGATGTCAAAGTCTTCTCTTACATCGCCAGAGAAGGGTCGTCGAACGAATTCACTTGTAACGTCTTCAAGAGCAAGAGGAACGTAAGTGAAGGGACATTTTATAATATAGGGTGGTAAAAGAGCGAGCGGCCTTTAATCGTTTTATCGAGTTGGCTGCTTCTCATAGACACCCGCATTAAATCAGTCTGTATCAGATGGGTGAAATACTTATTAATATACATATATAAATCGATAAAGTACCAAAGTGATAGTAAAAAAACGAGTTTAATGTGAATTTGAACAAATGTTTCTTTATATTCATCAATAAGCTTTTTTTGTAATGAAAAACGAGCAAGCAGCTACTTGAATTCACCGATATAGCTAAGTGGCCACTGCGCATCATCATTATCATGAGACATCCGTAATTGCTGTTTCATTGCTTACCTTTAACCGATGGGGGAAGGAAAGCACAGAAAGATCCTTTCTATGCTCTACAGTCCCTTCCCATCTGTTCCTTTAATAATAAGGAAAAGTGACTGAAATTACGCTTCCACTACGCACACGCAATCGTCAGAGGTAACGCCGGATTGCTTTCACTTTTAGGTGGTCGTAGTATTTCGGAGAGCGAGCCGGCCCATGCGTGCTTTTTTGTACTTCTTCTAATTCTTTTATCTGTTGTATTCCAACGGTCATGTCCTATCCCAACGATCGTGTTCTATCCCAACAATTCTGTTCTATCCCAACGATCGTGTACTATCCCAACAATCCTGTTCTATCCCAACGATTCTGTTCTATCCCAACGATCCTGTTCTACGCCAAAGATTCTGTTTTATCCCAACGATCCTGTTCTATCCAAACGATCCTGTACTATCCTAACGATCTATACAATAAAACAGTATAACATTAAACTTACACAAACTATTGTGATTGATGTCTCCGGAGACAAGCAATCTCTAACTTTTTTAATTCCTATATTTCCTCATAAAGGCAAAGGTTCATTGCCGCTGAGTAATATTTCCAAAAAAATAAGAATAGAAAAAAGTTAAAAAAAATCCAATTTCTTGGAATCAATGCTTGCAATGAAGAAGAAGAATAAGCATTTTTTTTTTAATATTTTCCATATTTCCTGTAAATGTTTTGAAATTTGTCCGTCTCTGAATTTCGACTCATTACGTTTTTCTGTCGCTGTGGGACGTAATTGCCTCTAATATAAAATGGCTTAAACATTCTTGACAATTTTTCTTTTACATGAACTCATTTCACAATTCCGGGAAATCATCCTAATTTATGTTATTTACTTTATATACTTCAAACGCTAGAAAGATTATTCATTCGCAGGATCGTCTCGTATTTTTCAACTTATAAATGAACGAATAGATCATTATATACCTATTTATTCAATTTTAAATTAAAAAATGATAATTTTGTTGAAGATGTCAAAACATCTTTAGCAAAATAACCTTAGCTTTAAAACAATATCAAAACAACGATTAATTAACTATGACTGCGTAATATAGTAACGGAGAATAAGGCACTTGTATTATAAATATATATTTTGTACTGCGTTTAATAATTTAAAAAACATATCGCTCGAATTATGTTTTAGTCTGCAAAATATAGCTATACACAATAAATGGTTACTAGAACAAAATGTGTAACATCCGAGTCATTGCTCATTTAACGAAACGGCTAACAAGATGCAACCAACCAAAATTAATTAACAGGGAAAATCAATCATAACAATAAAGTTTAATGTACAACGACGGACGCCATTGTTAAGCTGTCGATATTCCGCTGCTGGCGTCAAACGCAATAATAATAGCCGACAGGAACGAAAACGACCTGCAATTTTTTCACTTTAAATTTTTTATTCAATGTAGATAAAAAATACCTTGTTTCAGAATTTAAATCGCATTTAAATTAGATGAACTTTTTTTAAATACCTCTCTTAAATATCATATTGTTATTGAAGTGGTTATATTCAAAGTATCATTATCTTCTTCTTCTGTAGCTCTACAGCCCTTTGTGGGCCTTGGCTTGGTAAAGTAATTTTTTCCATTTCGGCCTATCTCTGGCCACGGTCCTCCAGTTCGCTATGCCAACGGTTTTCACGTCTCTACTTATGCCGTCTATCCACCGGAGCTTTGGCCTCAAAGTATCATTATACCATCATCATAAAGCTAGTAGCTTTCGCCCGTAACTACGTCCAAGTGGAATTAAAAAAAAAAACTGAGTAACCTATGAGTTCTTCCAGACTATCCACTACATCTATGCCAAATTTTATCGAAATCCGTTCAGCCGTTTAGGCTACAAACTCTAACATCCATCCATCCATCTAAACTTACGCATTTATAACATTAATATGATTTGTGAAAGTAGGTATTGTAATTAATTTCAAAAACTTCACATCGAGATTTTCCCAAGCAATTTGGAGTCTGAAAAAGAACGAATTATTCTGGGTCCTATGCATTAACAAAACATTTCGTTTCCATTAGTGTGTATTCCGTTCTAAAAAAACAAGAAAGATTTTTCGAATCTGTCACTGTCGTTTCGGAAATTCTTACCGAGAAAACAGAAGTAATGCATTACTATTTAAATATCCAGTCTGATAGATAACGTATTCATTGAAATGGATTTCCGTGATTCAAGATGTATTTGAATCAAAATGAAATTTCCTTAGAGAGTATAAGCTACATTTCTACATACCGACGTCCTTGATTCTACCAATAATAAATGTTTCTTTGTTTTATATTAGTGATAGTGTATAGTAAATAATGTTGACTTTTATTATTAACAAGCTGTTGCCCACGAAAATAAAAAACGTAGCTTATAATATGCCCGTCTATGTCAGCTACCCTTTAGTGAAAGTTCGGTCGAAATCGGCCCAACCGTTTCGGAACGAACGCGACTTGCGGACTGACATACTGACAAAAGTTTTTTAAATCCGATTTACGTTATCAGCAATACAAATAAATCGTCATCCCGAAATCTGATTTTTTTCTTCAGATATTACAAATATATTAAACTTATCGATGTAATCGTTAAAATACATAATACTTAATAAAATACTTTATTACATAAAAATATCTGTTTTCTTATAAATATCAGAATAAACTTTTCTTCTATCGTAGGTATTTTGATGAGTATAATATGATATTGAAGCCCATTGTCATACGATCCCTTTTTTTTCTAAGATCGTTATAGGACATTTTATGACATAACAAGGAAAACCGCAAATGGGAAATGTAAGGAAAATAAAAAAACATTTTCATTTTTCTATCAAAAGGATTTGCCCGTTAGTGAAATTTGAAAATAAAAACCAAATTAATTGGTGACCGACAGAACTCTGTTTCTGCACAGTTTCGGCCAAAAATCAGTAAAAAAAATATCCTTATATATGTTTAATTGCAACGGATTTAATCGATCGAAACTACCTTTATTTGAAAAGTACACATATAAAATACTAGCTGTTTCCGTGCGGATTCATCGGCATGAAATTATGAAAATCTTATTTTATTGTTTACATTTGTCAAATTACAAATTTCTAAATGATGACATGATGACAACCTTTATTTCTTGATGTTGGCAGCAACTAATGGTCTCTTTCTCAGATAAGGGTTTTAAATCAAAATATTTACCCCCTAAGTTTAACGACGTTAATATGTAAATAGTCTAAAGCGTGTCGCAAGTGTAGGGCTTTTTATTAAAAAAAATATTATTCAAAAATATGATGTAATTGCTGACATCTTAGGCAACAAAGAGGTGTGTGTTTACGCTTTATTATAATAGTATAGACAATAAAGGAATAAACAAGTAGTCTACAAATAGTCCAACATACATTTAGTATTATATCGTGCGAGTATAACAATGCCCTGTGGGAGATGTACGTGTCATTTATTCCTCCGCAAAATCTGTTGTAAAATTGGTTTAGTTTCTGTTAGTTCTGATCCGGAACGTGTATTTGCAAACCGCTTATTCTTTTTTTAAAAACGTATTGAAACAGTTTTTATTCGACCGAGCTCGTGACGATGCGATGAACGGGATGAAACGTGGGATTTTCCAATATATCGGGAACATTGTACAGAGCTGAAAACGAGTTTTTAAAAAACTGTTTCGAACTAACTCACTACGAGGAATCAATTTTTGAAACAAATCAAACGATATAAGTTATAACGATTGCACTTTGTATTTCCATTTATCAAATACAGTATTCGACAAATGCAATGGAACAAAATTATAAGAAATCGAGTAGTAGTTTTGCCTTTTGTAAGCCGTTACGTATTATAGTACTAATTACCTTTATCTAACTAGACTATTCGCAAAACGTAAAGCAAATATTTTTAAACCATCGATAGTAAACAAAATAGAAAAATCAATAGTGCTCGTGGAAATTAATGTAATTAGGAAACAGCTTCATGACAATCAACAGCGTTGGGCAATCAGTGCAATCCGCAGTTTACAAGCGCTGTTTAAAAATGCAGATAGTCGAACTCTTGTAGCTGTTAGTACTGTCTATTTGAAGCAACCCGTGTGTGGAGTCGTAAGTTGATTAAAAATAATAATCGCATTCGCTAAACGCGGGTTAGATTATAGCTATGACTTTCAGCTGTAACCCGAAATTGTCGGTAATTTATATGAACGCCTCAAAATGCGTACCGCTCTTGTATTGCTTGTAATTAGTAAAAGTGGCGGGAAACGTAATCAGTGGTAATGCGTGAGGATAATGGGTGGCTATTAACATTACTGGGATTTGTTAAATTTTGAAAGACATTTTTGGAATCGTATAGTTATTCAGTCATTATAATTGTTGCAGTGTGGGGTTCATGCATTAATAGTTTAATCTGATAGTGATTATCATTCTTTTATTAGTTAGATAAAATATTATATCGGAAGCGTTCGTTTGAAAATTCAAAATAGTTTTCTTTAGTTATAATGATTGATGTTAGATATAATAAAACGTCTGTTCTCTTTGAAGATGATGCGTTGTATAGGGTGTCTTTTATTTATGTTGGATAAATTTTGCGGATGTTTAGTTTTCTTTATTATGTACATGTACGAGTATATCTCTTCCTACGTACAGCAAGTAAGTAGGACCCCGTCCA